ACCCCACATGATATATAGTACTGGTATATATATATATATATATATATATATATATTCTCCTAATAGAGATAATATGCCAAATGCTATGAGTCTTGGAGAGCTGGTAGGAAAACTTGGCTGAGACAGGCCTAAGGAATCTTGATTTAAAGAAGGAATGAATCACTAACTACCCTGTGAAATATATGAACTATATTTAGTATAAAAATTAACTCTAACAGGAAATTAACTCTAACAGGAGTGGCCATGATGGTGGAACTTAAGGCCATACATAGTAAGAGCCCAAAAGAGAAGTATGTGGTCTCTGTGGCTCTCAGAAACAGCTGTGGCCTCTCCATGGCTGTCCATTTCACCAAAGTTACGTGGCCCCTGAGAACAACTGCAATCACACTGTCTCCAGATTTGTCTCTCTGGTTTTGACCTCCTTTTCCTGGCCCTGTGGAACTTGTAACCCTTCTCACCCATCATAATGCTCTCAAGAGTAAGAAGCCAGAAGGTTGGTGAAACAGTTGTGTATATGTGCCCTGCCATGGCAGGAAAGGAGATTAGACCAATAATTTGTTAAGGTGTTTCACTGGAAAAAGAAAAAGAAAAATTCAAATAAGGCTGCTGGTTCTAGTGCCCTGGGCTCTGCATGCTGGATTGATTTATGTGCTGCCACATAAATGCCATGGGACCATGCCTCATTCTGCCGGCAAGGATACAGCTACTCGTCTAGTCTTCACCATAGAGTAAGGAAGTTGTAACCAGCAGAGGCGTGTGTTAGGAGTGCACAGGAAATCACCCTCAGATGACTCCCTTCTCTATGGTTCTTCTTTAGACAGGCTTCATGCTCAAGGATGGAATACAGATAAATGCTAACAATTGCCACTTAGGGAGTCCTCTCATCACAGTGAATAAATGACTCTCCAGGCTGGTGTCATTTAACCCTCAAAGCAGCTGAGCGCTATGGTGATTACCATTTTACAGCTAAAGAAACAGTTTTGGGGAGTTGAATAACTCCCCCCCCCCCAAAAAAAGGGCCACTGCCATCTAGTCAATCCTGTTTCATAGCAACCCTATGTTGTTGTTGTTATGTGCCATCGAGTCAGACCTGACTCATAGCAACGCCTCCTTGGGTTTCCAAGGTGATATCACTATGGAAGTAGATTGCCCCATCTTCCTTCCAAGGAGTGGCTGGTGGGTTTGAACTGCCAGCCTTCTGGTTAGCAGTCAAGTGCCTTAGGCACTACGCTACCAGAGCTCCCTAGCAACCCTATAGGACAGAGTAGAACTGCCTTATAAGGTTTCCAAGACTGTAAATCTTTAATGAAAAAGACTGCCTCTTCTTTCTCCCACAGAATGGCTGGTGCATTCTAACCACTAACCTCCTTTAGATTAGCAGATGAGTGCTTTAACCACTATACCACCAGAGCTCCTATCCAAATTCTATAGCTAGTAAATAATAATGCAAACTAGTGAATACACTAATTTCACTTCCCAGGCTAATGAGTGCAATCTTCCCCACCCATCTTAAGTCAATAGCTAAATTTCTTTAACTGCCAATCAACACTTGAGTATTGATTTCCCAGTTGAAATATTAAGATGAAAAGGACCCAGCTCCTGCTGTTATGGAACTTCCAGAACTGAGCTAAGTAAATATTGTATGATAAAAGTAGACAAATTAGAATCAAGCCAATGTGGGTTTAAATACTGCCTGTGCACTTTACTGCGAGGAGAGGCTGGTCCCTGAGAGAAATTTAGAAGGCAAACTCAACAGGTCTTGCCAACGAAGAAGCTAGCTTCAATTTCTTCATCTGTCCAAAAAACTCAAACCCATTTCCATAGAGGCAATTCCAACTCATTGTTGGCTGACCTTTCAGTGAGCAACTGAGTGTTTTAACCACTGTGCAACCAGGGCTCCTGTTCCTCATGTGTAAAAGGGGATAAATATACTATCTCAAAGAGCTATTGAAAGGATTAAATCAAGTAATGTAAAGTCATTGAGTAGTGGAAGACAAAATCTCTCAATATTAGCTCTTCTAATGACTTACTTACATAAGAAAGGAGGGGTGCAATGAGCTTTGCCATTGGAAGGCGAGTCATCAATAAAGCCTTTATAGTAGAAGGATGCAGAGAAGGAGGCTTATGGGCAGACACCAGTATATACCTGAAAGAATGTGTCGTGTTTGAGGGATGATGAGAACTGTTAAAGGAGGAGAGATGGGGGTGTATCTGGAGAGATTGGCAGAGTGAGGTCATATCAGCCACTGGCAGCCACTGATTGAAAGCATAAGCATGGTATGGGCATATAAGCATTTTGAAAAGAGACTTCTGATAGCAGAGTAGGAGAGTGGAGAGTATGGAGAGAGTTGGTGTCATGGAGTTAGATTGGAGACTGTAGGTCTTTTTCAGGAGGCAGCGATGAGGAAGCTTGTGCTAAGGCCAATACAATTGTGAGTCTGGATCTGAGAGATGTTTTGGGACCCCATTTAGCAGCACTTGCTAACCAAGAGGACCTGTGACTTGACTCTTCTTTGCCCTCTGCTGTCTGAGTGTCAGATGGGCAGAACAAGCTTGGGCATGACAGGGGTGATGTATCATGATTGGCATCATGCAGGTATAATACTTGGAACATAAGGGACCAAGAATAGCATTTGGCTATATGTGGAAACCTAGGAGCTCTGGTAGCATAGTGGCTATAGCACTTGACTGCTAACCAGAAGGCTGGC